TCCTGCTTTTAATTATTCCTCATTTAGGCTTATTTTTTTGACTTCGTATTTTTGTCTTTTCCCTCTTCTAAACAGTACAATATTACAAAGCTATTAAACCACTATGAAGAACTCTCTTCCCACCTAGGCTGAAATCAATTGACTAATTCAATGTCCTCTTGAAAGCTCAGATTTAAATCTAAAAACAATTTAATTCTAAAAACAACAGATACCATTTAATTTCCTGATGAATTTAGAAACGTGTAAAAGACAAAGAGAAAGGAAATGTGGAAGGAATATTGACATCTAAATCTTAACTCATTTCGGATTATTACTATGTAGTGACAGCAGCATTCAAGATTAGAAAAGGTTAGCGTTTCACAAGGAATAAATCACAACTTTTTCTTAATTGTCTGTTAAACAGACCTGGTGCAGCAATTAGATACTACTTTATTAAGGAGAGGAAAGGGCCAGATTAAAAGATAATGGAGTAATAATTTGAAAACTCTTGTGATATTTTACAGTACTTCTGGTTTTACGCTAAACCTCTGTAGTTTAGCCTATAGCTCAATAAGATAAACCCCAAAAGTAAAATAGTTACTGTGCAGCTGCTGACTAATTTTTAAATCAACAAGGACTATTTTGTACAGCATTTAGAACAATGCAACTTTAATACCTGACAAATGCCCAGCTCTTGGGCATTACTTACTCTAACAAGAAATTAGAGTGGTACCATTTAGGGGGGAAAAAAAGCAAGATTCATTTGTCACAAATCGCATTTATACGGCCACTAAAACATCACAGAAACATTAAACTGTGTCGGTGCTTGCATGTATTCTATAACATTTACTTTTAGTATTTCTAGTACAGCGATGCGTTAGCGTAGTCCAACTACAAAGTAAAACTCTATCAATATTAGGAGATTCTTCAGGAGTCTAGACTTATCACAGAACACCGGCAATGGCACTGCCAATTCTGGCTACAAAGTTAAGCTAGTGCCGTGAATAACATGGAAAAAAAAAATCTTAGACAACTGGCTCCTGTAGAAATAACCAGCCTTAATACCACCATGAACATTCTTACGTAAGATAAAATAAGATAGATATAAAATAAGACAGATACAAATTCCACAAGTCAAGTACTAATTAAGTATTTCTGTGAAAGGTATCACTATACATCTGACTTGAGATCTGACCATAGCAATTGTCACATCACTGCATTTAAAAAAAGATCACACAGATAAAAGAGATTTTTTTTTACATTTAAAAACAAAAGCAGTCCTATTAAAATATAATACTGGTTGGGGGTGGTTTGGGTTTTTTTGGGGGAGGGGGGTTTAAAACAAGATTGGCTATACGAAGCATTCTGATGCAACTTTTGCTAAAAACAAAATAACAGCAAAAACCAAGTCTTTCAGAGTCATTTTGGAAAAAATCAAAGGATGGAAGCTGAATGTATTTCAAATCCCTCACCCGAGCACATTCGGGTATGCTGAAATGCTTTCGCAATTGGTTGTTGTGCAGTAACTTGGCAAACAAGGGGAATGCTGAAGAGCATTAATTTTGCAACTGGTGAAAGAAAGGAGGAACAGCTTTGTTTTTCCTGGTCTTTGCGGACTGCATCAAACAGATATTACAAAATAGCATAGCAAAAAATAAATCATCTTCCTTATTTCTTGTATTATCAACTTCGACAGCATATGAAAAAATATTTTTCAAGCGTGGCTTGAGGCTATATTGAACATAAGAAACCCCCTAATTATCCTAAAATATGAACATAGCTATGTAACAGTATAAATTCTAGCATGGTGTGGATACCTTGTAAATATTGATTTTTTGGTAGTATCTGAGAAACTAGGCCTTAATGTGGAATGGAATGAGTAATTGTAATACATTTTCGCTGAACACAGGAAAATATAAAGTTTGCTTAGATTCAGAGATTAACTTGTTTATAGATAAACAATAAATAATAAATATGAAAAACAGATCCAGCAGCTGGTGAAATAGTCTACTAGTAATGGTTGCTAAACCGAAACCACATTTTAAGAATAATATTCTTATTTTCATAAGACAATGAATTCATGGCAAATGAATCGGCAAGAAATAAGCTTTAAAAAGACATATGTCTATTTGTGTTTCTATGGTACTTCAAGTTTTCTAGGATAGGAACTATTTGTTATTCGTTCACAGAATCTAGGATCTGGGAGTTACTGAGTTAACTGGAGCTTCAAATCTACAAAAGTAATAAATCGAAACAGCAGCGATCTAATCATATTTGAGTAATACAGTTAAGATACAGAAACTTGAAAGAGCAGATCTTAAACCTAAGGAACTTTGTTCAACAGACATCACTGAAGATTTCCAGAAGTCAATAAGGTAGCTTAATTGCAATTTATAAACCATTAGAAGAAAGGTACTTCAGGGATGACTTTTGTTGGTTTAAGGCTTCCCTAACTCAATTCCTTGTCTGAGCTACTCTATAAAAGATTAATTGGCACAAACAGGCATATGACTTGGCAATGAAGATATATTCTTACAGGATTTTGCTTAATGGGATATATAGAAAAATGGTTTATGACTGCTATAAATTCCAGAGAAAGTAGACTATTAGGAACAAACTTAACCTGTGAGTCACATGTGAGTGATATGGGTAAGCAACAAAAATTCTGGTATGACCGCTATTATGGAGACCTGCCTTGCTACCTGTAGAGATTACAGCATCTGATCAGACAGAATGGCATCCTTGGGAAATGGGAGGAAAGTGAAATTTTAAAGCTTATGAAAGTTAGGAAATGAGAGACAAATAAATGTCAAATAACCTGAAGATTATATAAAGATAACTATGAACACCGAGCTAAAGAAAAGTTATATAAATAAGGAGAAGCAAGAGATTTTTTTGAGAACAGATTGAGATATTGCATTTCCTGGGTCTTCATGAGTATTCAGAGGCTACATGCAGAAGCTTTCTGTATTTCAGGTAACGTGCAAAGTTACGCAAAACAAGGTTTAGCTTTGTAGAAGAAACTGGCATATTCTTTTTAAGTGTCAGTTATATCATAAAAGGTCCTTCAAATTTTTCAACTGTATAAAGGGAAAGAACTCCTTTCTTGCTTTTTCTACTGAATGAGAAGCAAGTAAGGAGGGAAGAGAATAAAAGCGTAAAAGGGAGGAAGCGTGTCTGATCTCTCTACTGACCTCTTGAGAGAAATCAGACTGAAGGGAAGAACACCTTTAGTCTCCATCAGCTGGGGTGCAACAGCAGAAGTGGGACTAGTTCTATCGACATGGGATTTGTGCTGAAGGAACAAGCAAGAGGAAACAAATCACATTCCAGTCTCTGCCACCAACTAATGAGTACACTAGCACGCTTACCGCACCACCTCTTCATCGCACTGATGATAAAAAGTAAGGAGCTTTACTGTTGCAAAAGCAGAACAAACTCTTTCGCATTACATACCGGGCAAAGAACGTATAAAGGCCCAAACTTCATCCACAGTCCACACTGACGGGTCGGTTTGCACCACTGGTAACAAGTCAATGCTCTCTGGCATCTTCCTAATTCTTAGTTCCCTAAGTTCACGTTCTCTCTCTCTTTCACTTTGCCTTCGCAGACGGGTGGTCATGGCAGCTGGAACAGCATCTTCGTGAGAAGCCATATCTTCTTCTGCAGATGGATAAGTAATTGGAAGCTGGAAAATGTAGTACAAATACACTACAGTATTATATTTTATTTGTAATTCCCCAAACAATGCCATAGTTCTAAGCAAATATTCCACAGACCTGTCTAAGAAAGTGATCTCGTGACGCCCCATCAGGGCCACTCGGTCGACGCCCGCGTCGCCCAAGGCTTTGGCTATCAGATTTCCGATTCCAGCGACTGGTTTTGTCTGATGTAAACAGCCCAAATTTCTTAGTGCAACTAAGGCTGTGCCTAAGGAAGAAAGATATATTCAATAATGCATTCATACTTTTTTGGACAAATTCAATCAACTTAGCAATCAAATAACATTGTTGTCTACAGAATCGTTGCCTAACCAAAGACAACAGGTGCAACAGAAGTACAAGAGAGAAAGGTATCGCCAAGGTCATTTATTCCAACCCTTTGCCTTGATGCAAGATCAAGTACATTCAGATCATCCCTGGAAGATATCTGTCTTTCCTGTTCTTAAAAATGTCCCATGACTGAAACAGCATTGCATTTTATCACATATTATTCCAATCCTGCTTCTCTAAAGTGTCCTCTAAAAGCCTAAAGTCCTATTATATCTTTTGCTTCCGTTCTCCTCTGCCTGGCTGATACCCAGTCAAAAGAGGATGGAGGTGAAAGAGCTGATTTCCCTCTTAAGATTATTTCACTAGCAGTGTCTCAACAAGTACTAAATAAAAAAAACATACGCTCCTACCAATTAAAATGTGAGTGTCTCAGGCTGAGGACCAAAAGAGGAGCAGACATGACAGAGAGGTGGTTTCAAGGCACACTGATGCAAAGAACAACCAAGAAGTAATTACAAAGGGGAAACTATTCCCTATACGAGATCATTTCTAAAACATCTGGCATTAAATATCAGCTTTCCACAACAGTTACAATGATGCAAGATCTATATGTTGATTTTGATTCGTTCCTTTTTTAACCAAACAAACCGAATCAAACCAAAACAAAATGAAAAGCATACTAAACCCAAAAAGAAACCAGAAATCATCTTTCTCTGTCAACCATATAGGAGCAAACGGTTTCTTTTTTTATTTTCAGGAAAGAAGCAGCTTTAGAAAACACTAAATTATGTATGCTTACATTTATATTTTACTCTATGCAAATAATGATTTGTTACACTACATATTATATATTAATTCAGTGCTTTTTTCAGCATAGCACAAAACTGTAGGAAAGTCCATCTAACGCAGTATTTTTTTTCTGACAATGCCTAGCAGCAGGGGGATGAGAATATGAATAAGACAGATAAAGTGAATTGTGGCCCAGGGACATCCGAGCCAAAGATGGTTTCCAAACACTTAGTGACTCTCTGTGGATTTCTCTCCTATGATCCCAGCCTCCTCATGAGCCTCCCCATGGGGGCACCATCAGCCCCCCTCAGTAAAGAGCTCCACAACTCAACTGCAGTTCCTAGGAAGAACTAATTTCTTTTGTTTGTCTTCCTGAAATATATCATCTTCCACAATAGTCCCTATACCTATCGATTCTGGAAATTTAGGCAGAAGGCAATCTCATTGTTTACTCTTTACTTATTTTTCAATACTAGATACTATTTGGGTGCTAGTCCATTAACCAGGCAGTGATAAACAACAGTAAGGCAGAGTACCTTTTGGCACAGGACGTGGAGCAGAATCGTTTTGACCGTAGAAATTTATCAGAATATCCCATTTTTCCACAAAATTCACACTTCAGAAGATCATTTTCAATTTCATCTAGTCCCTCTAAAGAAAGGAGCGAGACATAAAGAAGTTTAGTCTTAGCAACAAATAAAATGACGTTCAAATTCCTCATCGCTTACGGAGGCAGGCAGAAGATTTTCAAATATCAAACACATTTAATGAAAAGACTTGAGTAAAAAGAAAATTATGCCAAAACCAAGCAAGTCATAGGTTTCACTTTTATATATAAAAGACTTTGAGCAGACTGAACCTTCAATTAAATTATTCAACCAGTTTAACCAACTTTTTTGTTAAATTTCCAATCATCCATGAGCAAGCATGCCCTCACAGTAAATAGCTTCTTAAATCTGTAATGGTGTGACGTATTAAGCTAGCAAAGTACTTTCTTTGAATAAGCCACAGCTACAACCAAAAGGAGGACTTCTGGAAGCAAATAAGACATTGAATCTTATCTACGGATAAGAGAATTGGAGGCCAACATTTCAAATAAGTATTTTTCTAAAGCATGTAAATCCTACTCAGTGAGGTTCTTTGAAATATATGGTTGCAGTAAAATTTACTGCGTTAAATTTTCCCTTTTCACATTTACTTGAAGCAGATACAAATCTGGTCAAATCCTTGCCAGGCTCATTTGATTACCTTGGCATTCTGACAGGTGCTTGCACTAAGCACAATTCTTGTCTCAAAATACAATTCATATATTATTCTAAAAATCTTACTGTATACATTTCATCAGCGGAATTACCTGTATGCGATTCTGTAGTGCTAGTTACAAAGGCTGTGATTAAAGTCCCTCAGGTTTAAGTCTTTTTCAGCACAATGTTTTGATCAGGCCATGTAACATATTTTCCAAATTTCACATACACAAAAGGCATCACAACAGTTCTGCAACTGGTATTACAGTAAACATACTACCAACCTTCTCCTTCTCCCCCTTCTCTTAAGGATGCAAATCCCCCTCCTTCCCTTTCCCCAATTTTTATTTTTTTCTTATAATCAAATGTGCCTATGAAGTTATCAAATCTGCATCTTGCTGGGATCAGAAAGGATGTGGATTTCTAAGTTAAGTATTTATCCCAAGTATTTTTCTCTCCTTTGTAATAAAAGCAGATCTAGCAGTGGTACCTTCACCAGTTTCACTTGCAGGAAATAGCCTATTCATTCAGGATAGAAACAAAGTAGTTTGCGATCGCCCTATATTAAGTTTGCATAGGCACAGAATCACAGAATCGTTTAGGTTGGAAGGGACCTCTGGAGATCATCTAGTCCAACCTCCCTGCTCAAGCAGGGTCACCTAGAGCATATTGCCCAGGGTCACCTAGAGCATATTGCACCTTAAACTCCAACTGAAAAATGGTAGGAAAGCAAGGCAACCACAACAACAAGGACTTGCACTAAAGAGAAAAGATCATGCTCTTCCATGCAGAGCCGCTGCAAAAACACTTTCCTTGACCTATCTGATATTCCAAAAGTGGTACTGGATCCAATAAAAGCATACAATTTTTGACATCTGTCACAAGTGGATCCAGAGGAACAATTACAACATTTATCAACTCTTCTAGCGAGTTCTTGGTATCAACTAATACTACTTTGCTCTTATACCTCTTTGAAATTAGATTCAGGTTATACAAAGCAGTTTGGTGCACCAGATTTAATACCTTCAAGCAACTAAGCTTTCACTGAGAAAGGAGCATCTTTTCTTGCTCTATTTCTTATGTGTTCCAAGAAATATTTTCAGACTAAACATTGCTGAGTCACAAACAATTGTGAAAGTACTTAAGAAAGTATTGATCTTAAAGTTGATTAAAGTTGACTTTAAAAGCTTATAAACAGAGTCTGGTTTAACTCATTCCTCCCTCACACATGCAAGAAAGGAACGGATTAGAGCATCTGAACAGTTTATAGTCTACTGTTACAGATTGTTTTTACAACATTTGTGAGACGAGGAGGTATTTTTCCCACTCCCTGTGAAGAAGCCCTTAAACTCCTGCTGACAGGCAAACACTAATGAAAGAAACAGTGGAAAAGCTCAGAAGAGTGCACTACAAGGTAACAAGACGAGCATACATGTCACATGCTGAATGTCTACACCTTCTCCAGGAAGCATATGGCGTAGGCAGAACACGGCTTGCATGTAGTTCAGAAGAATATCACCATCTTTGCAAAACAACTTAACTTCTGGCATGGAAAAATTATCCCTAGGAACCATCTGTGAAATACATAATCTGGAGTGAAATTGGCACAAACTGAAATGTAACATTTTTGTCTTCATTCACGTAAGTAAAAAGAACCTTGTGCCACATTTGTTTAAAAATTCAGAGGACTAAACAAACATACATTTCTCCCATGTTTCTAGTTTTCCACTACTTTGCCTCTTGCTACTCATCTTCTACATTCATATTTTTGCAACTGATTATATGAAATTAAAAGTTGCAAACTAGCTTTTTGTCTTAACCTCCGTTAAGCTCTGATGCTAGCTAATGCAAATACACGTATCAAAGTTTAATCTGAAAGAGTATGACTAAGAAATTGTAAAATTCAGTTTCAGTAATATTTACCCATGAAACTGCCCATGAACACCAACTTTGTTGTACTGTTAAGGTGACAAATAAAACAGCAGTAATGCAAAACGAATAAAGCTGAAAACGCAGGAAAGGTTATTTGAATAGCATCTCCGATGTATCAGGATCCAAAATTATAACCAAAGTCAATTAATCCTCAGGCAGCATCAGACTGAAAATTACCCCGTGGCAAGCCTCCAACTTCTTTACTTGTTATCACACATGAAAAAAAACTGGGAATGGGAATCATATCAATTTTTGTCAATTTTGGAACTGAAGCCAAGCAAATACTAGAGATGTATCCTTCAAAGAAATCCCTCTTCTTATAATATCAAACAAATACTCATCCGGTATTCCAACTAGATCACACTACATGGAAAAAAGGGACAACATAAACAGTGAAGCAAAAATTGATGCTAAAGCCTTTTCTTTTGCGCTAGGTGTTTCTACCTTATACATGGAATGTGTATCCTGTTTTACAGTAAGGAAAACTCCTTCATTGACTGCAGTAGCTGCAAACTGTGTACATGAATCAAACACCAGCTGTCAGGAGCAATAACTGCAAACAAAAATGTGAATGTTTGAATAATTCTGCAAAACAACAGACGAGCTGTTTGAGATCTACTGAGCAACAACAGTGCACTGTTAATGCTGAATGGATCTTAGGGAATGCTACTGAAAAGAAAACTGAACTCAGATCTACTGAAACAAGCCAAATAAAGCCAAAATAACTATTCCATCAGAGCTGCGTATATTCTAAAAGATATACCAGAAGGCAAAAAAATTATTTCTTTTCAAATACGCTGGAAAACCAAAATACACCAACAAAAACTCAGAAGGCTGTGCTATTGATTAAGAAATCAAAAGTGCAGTTTACTATCCAGTCCATGACCGAAGAGATTCATAAGTGTTACTTCATATGTGTAGGAAAGCAGTATAAGGTAGTATAAAAGCAGTATAAAGTAGCATAAAAATGGATTTTTTTTTTTTTTAACTAAAAAATGCTCTCATGTCATTGGACTTCCCTCTAGAAGAACTAGTTAAATGGAAACAATCAGTGAGAAACTATACACCATTTCAAGCTACAGAGAATCTGTATAACAACAGCAGCAATTTTTAATTAACCAAAAAAGAAGTCTAGAGAACTTCTGGTCATACTGCAGCTCTCCACCATTAATATGCCAGATGCTCTGTCAGCAGAAAAGCTAGGGTCCTGCCTTATGAAACTGTCTGCCATGCCTCCGTGAAGGGTTGTGAAGAACACGGTATGGGCCCCCGTTTTGGATTTTTTAAAGAGTAACACAGCATTCTACTGAAGAATAATTTTAAAATTGAACTCAGTAAAAACCCTGCTTCTTCATTTTTCTTTTTAAATATGTAGACAACTTAATTATAACATAATTAAAGTAAAGTCATAGTTGCAAAGCAAAGCATTTTTCAAATATCATACGTTGCCTAAACTGAGGTTACTACTGAAAAATGCAGAAGGGCTCTGGACTGTACTGAGACATATTAGTAAATGCAACCACACAATCAGTCATAATCTAGAAAATCCTGTTTTGTGTTTTATTTTCAGATACTTATTTCTGACTTCTTTGCACAGATGCTACCCTAACATACAGCAGAACTGCAACCCATCGATATTTCCTTTCAGTGATGTATTTCCAAGCTAAGCCAGCTATTACTAAAATCAGTACTACAAGTAATAACGTATCGTTCATTTAAGCATCAAGATATGCCTCACCTGAACTGTAAAGTAAATCAGCCTTAAGCAAAAATCCAACAGCATTTACTTAACTTCACTATCAACACATAACTCTTCTTGAGCTCAGAATGCTTTGGAAAACAAGGTTTTTATCCACTGTCTGTAATCCTTGACTTGTAAGCAGTAAAAGTAGTAAGCCATTACTACTATAATAACGTATCAAAATTTAGTAATCTAAAAGACTGAATTTTGAGCTAATTTTCTCACTAAGACACACAATGAAACAACCAATTTTCCTATTGCGCTTCAACGCCGTTTACCAAGACAGAAACCAGAGTAACTAACAAATTGTCGTTGGTGTGGCTATATCTTGAAAGTCCTTATGGGAAAAGATCAGAAAAGGAATATTATGGACTATTTTAACTAAGTGACAATTGATACTGGTTACAGTGGGAAGACAAACTAACAGTATGTAAATAACTGAAGCACAGTCTAGCGTGCTTCTTACTGCTCAGGACACTGTCCCAAGTATGGACCCTTTTCCAGCCACTGCCCCAACACAGTCCTGCAGCTTCATTTTGTATACCAGAGTCAGGGTTACTGCCGCTCCTGCTGTATTTGCCCTTTGTTATCCTGCTCACTACAGTTTTGATATGAAAGAGGGAAAGGAATTATTGCAAATGAGATAGAAAGTAAGAGTTATGGAAAGAACTTTAAGACAAATTTAAACAGATCACCAAAAACGGCTGCTGTCTGACCTTTCAAGCTACGGAGCAGAAAAATCCAGAGGCTGCACAGAAGTTCTGGACTTTAAAATCTTGGCTGAATTTATGCAAAGAGTTAAAGAATAATCTGTTTTTTTTCTGGGTGAGGTCAAGTTTAATTTCCATCTGATAGTATTCATGAGGGTACCTACATTCGAGCTTCAACAATGATAGTGGCATATAACACATCCAAAATACTTGATTGCCTGGTTCTAACAAATCCATGATTATGACTACGTCAGATACTGCATGAGGAACTCTACTGAAGAGATTTTTAGCTAATGAGCTGTGCTAAAGAGCATTTTATTCTGAGGAAAAAAAAAGTGCATAGTTTCTTGATATTTGTGTGCATCTATAGCAGTTGTTGTTATGATGTGTAGCTAGCTATAAGCATTTGAAAATAATTTCCATTAGAGAGAGTAGAAAGAACTGGAGAAAGATTCCACTTATACAGACAGGATGAGATTCTGCAATATATACAGAACTGAAGGGAAGAATGGATATTTAAACAGAACTACAAACCTTCTGCAATCATATCCTCTATCTCTGTGTCCGATGAGTTGTCTGCATGTTTTGTATTCTGCAAGTCTGATTCCACACACATAACACTCATGATTTGACCCTCCACTAGCAATCTTTTTTCTGCAGGCTGTTCTACCAGCAAAGATGAACGACTTACCTATTACAGTAAAAGCAAAGCAACAATGATTAACTGAACAGTTAATAACAGAAAACAGTACTTACTATTCATCAGCGGTAACTGAGCCCAACATCGCAATTCCCATTCTTTATCAACAAACCATTATTATATAGTGCCAAAGGTGTATATGTGTTTTCTCCAACAAATACAAGGACATGTTCTTACTTTGACAAGCTTGATCAAAATTACATTTAACGCAGGAAGAAACCACATTAAATATAGAGAAATGAAGAAATAGGAAAATGAGAGCTATTTTAAATTAGTAAGGCAGAAAATCCCACCCTTTAAAAAAAGAGGCTCATAGGTTTTCAGTTGGCCATTTGTGGATTTTAAATTTTCAGCAGTGTAATTCTTACCAGATACAGTCCTAATCACGCCACTCTCGGCAAGAGGCTTGCCAGTGCTTTACATACGATATTTTAACATGAAAGCGGTACTATATACTAAGACTCATGTCAGAGGTTTAAATTAAGGTATTACTAAGGTATCTAGGAGACAGACAAACACAAAACGACGCTATCTCAAATGTTAGACTAAAATCATTTCTTTGTAGATAACAGACGCATTCGACTGTGTCGCTGTTTTCATTTAGTACATTGTCATCCAGTGATACAGGCAAGCCAAACAGTAGCATGAATTCCAACTGTATATACATAAGACAATGCAAACAAGACACAGGCATACCGCAGTACTTCAAGAAACAGGCTACCAATCAGGGGAAAAAAGTTCAACCACAAGGTCTGAAAAATTATTCAAGGTTTAAAGACCTAAATAGCTAGTAGCCACAAATAACATCATCTTTAAAAATTATTAGTAAAAAAAAAAAAAAAAAAAAAAAAACAACTTTTAAACTTACAGGGAATGGCTCCAACCCCTCCTGAATCACAAAGCCCTCAATAACATGGGTCAGTATCTGTGGTTTAACAATAGCCTGTGGAGGTTTATTTTCTAGGCTAGGAATGCTATTGGGCATTGATGTGCTGTTGCTCCTTGTCGTCGCTGCTGGAAGCAAAAGAGGCGGTGGTGGAATAGAGGAATGTGAAGGATCAGATGGAGATTTAATTACTGAGGCACCGACTGACGATGTCCCTGAAGGCAGTCCCGCATGTTCTGAAAGAAATAACAAAATGTTACATTTTTATCACTTTTTTCCAATCATTCTTTCAGTATTCTAGAAAGAACAGATGATAAACACCTCCAGCTCTGCATCCGTGATCCTCCTAAGATTTTTCCTCTATTGTTTATAGACTTTACCTTCAAAACAAGGTGATGTGCCTTGATTGACTATTCTGCAGACAAATAGTTCTCAAGTTTACATCATTTCCCTTTACTCAGCACCTAACTGCAACCACAGTTGACCACCACACCAAATGTAAAAACAAAACAAAACCAAACCCACTTCTACAGCCAACATTTCTAAAGAGAAGTTTTTCTTTCTTCAGGGACACTTTGCAGCCTCAATAACCTGTAAGGTCACAAATACATGAGGCATCAAGCCACTAAGCACCCAGCTGCTGGTAGAGAAACCCAGCTACAGGAGCCCAAATTTAGAAAGGTCGTTCCTCCAAGTATTCTGAGAGACATTGCACACATCTATGGCAGCGTATGTGCATATATATGAACTTTTAAAATCCATATATGCATGTATATGCATATAGGGAATCATGTACAAAGTTTTGTGTGTGTACATATATAAATATATACATGTATATGTTGTATATATATAAATATATATGTACACACACAAGACTTTCTGCTTAAATCCAGATTTTTCTAAAAAATACTTTGGAAATACAGGCAGTATCATATATCTGCAAAAGAACCTACTACACCACATACTGCTCCTTTGGTAAGGAAAGAGTATGTGTACTTGATTTTGGAAAGTGCTGGCTTTTACCTCCAGTAAACATACTGTTCGATTCAGACATTTGTTACCACGGTTTTTTGACGAAAAATGAGTATTTTGTCCTCTATCTCATTTATTCCAGGAACTGATCAGCACAGAACAACACACTGAATGTCTGTAACTGATAATGTGGTCTACTGTCTTATTGGCTTCAACAAAAATTGAGTATATTCAGTACATCAGGGCAAGTTTCTACTTTTTGCAGCACAAAAATTGATACTGGCAAGTTTTTTTTTTTTGCTGGTGGTGGTGTTTTTGTTTTTGTTTTTTTTTTTTTAAACAATCCACTGAAGAAAAAAATCAAAAAATTGTACTTTTTTTTTTTTTTTGCATCAGAACAGCTCCTTTTTGTGGTATATCAAAAAATGATGCCAAAGAGAATCATACAATGCAGCAGACCATCCTGACAGCGTTTTCCAATCCTGCAAACAAATCTTCACGAAAGATCAACCTGCATATTTTGCCCACAGCATACAGGCTAGACTTAAAATGCAAATGGAGATTGATACCACTATTAAAATTTTAGTATTTTAGAAGTATATGCTTCAGAGCCCAGATAAAGGATTTCTACGATACATGCCATACCAACACGTATGTAAGTTATGCTTTTAAAACTGAATTGTTCATTCTATCATATTGATTTCCAATACTTCACACGGCTGCTTTTACTTAAAAATGATTCTACTAAACTATAAAAATAGATGAAAGTCAAATTTTCACTTTAGCGTATCAATGGCTACTAGAAGGTTTTAAGTAGAAAAGCTATCTTAGTTTTACTTCTGTTCTCACCTGACAAGGGCTCTTCCGAAGTAAGCGCCTCTCCATTCCCCAAGGTTATGGCTGGTGGCGACAGTGTCGGTGGCGTAGGTGTTCTAACCATGTGGACACATTCGGACTCTTCAGGCATCTCTTCTTCACAAACATTCTCCACTTGGTAAATCTGCATCCAACAAACTAGCGCTTTAGAGAGATTTCCATTCTATCTTAATACCTTGAAAGAGTTGCATAAATATATATTTTTTAACAAATTATCAGTTGAAGTGTTAAAATATACGAATCTCATAATAAAATACAAGTTACCAAACTGCATACAAATCAATGGGCTCTGAGGACATCATGATTATTATGAGAACAAAACTGAAGTATTTTGTTACAAATAGCAGAATTCTAAAACATAGGCATAATTCTCCTATTGAACAGTCCAGAGAAATCAACTGACTTTTTCCATGCCTTATCTTTATAGTTCACTGTATTTTTATTTACACATACACGCACACGCTTACTTATTGTCCTTTAAAGACTTCAGCGAAACGCAAGCTTTATAACATAATGGCAATTTCAATAAAACTGACTAAAGAATTTAGATAAATTTCAGCTGAAATGCTGAACACCATATTATCAGTTCATAAACTCTGCCAGCTGTTAACCATACAGACTAAAATTTAAAATGAAGTATATATCACAAGCTGATACTGTTGCAGAGAAAACTTCATGCTCTCCAACCTTGGTACAGAACTATCGCAACGGGTCTGGAAGTCCCGTTAGGAAGTCATCCTAATAGAAGAGGTACAGTATTTATCTTTTCCATTAAAATCCACCCGAAGTTGACAAAGCTACAAGTTCCTGAAAGTTGCTTAATATACATTTGCCAGTCAACCAGACAAATCCTTGAAAAATTCATCCTGAAGAGAATGGCACTTTCACAAGATTATTCCTTATAATTGCTAGGGACATAGTGGCATCAGAGAAAGAAAACAAGAGAAACTGTACTCAAAAAAAAGGCTATCCTTATTGTTGCTCTAGTTTCACAAAGAAGAGAAGGAAAAAAAGAGGGACTGTCTGCATTACAGATGGGATAATGCTATAGAAGACTGGATATGAATGTATTCATATCAGAATACAAAAGTATTTTGAGAGTTTGGATCTGCATAAGTCTCAGTTAATACAACTTTTTGCTTCTAATTAAGGTAAATAATTTACCATTAAATATCCAAGAATAAAGGTTCACATGAAGCTCGTACATCTCCAAATTAGTACGTCAGAACTGGAAGCAGGAAACACATCAGTTTGGAGTCCTAGTATCACTTAATCCTTGACTAATATAGAAGTCTCCATATTGTTTTCTATCTTATACAGAAGTATAATTGAGTATTTCAGGAGAGTATGCCAAAATTATCAGACATTAGCGAAGAGGTTATAAGGTATTTTCCTCAAGCTACAAAAGTAAATTGATGCGATTTACTGACAGCCAGTTTAGCAGATTAGGATGTAAAATATCACCTTGTCAAAAGCACACCCGGCTTCTATTCTTTTGCCTAACTTCTGCATGAAATATCAGACGGTTGGGATTATCATGACCTTCTAAATACCACTTAAAAATAATCAGCGCACAACCTTCCCTTCTTCTGTTGATATCCTGAAGAAAACCTACAAGAGCTGTTAATTCTTCTGCTCACATTAATCTCATTAGCATGCTACCACTAAAACTTAGTAATATCACTTTAATTGTTAGTAGTAACTGCAGATCATTTTATTTCACTGCTTTTCACTGACATTTCACTGCAGATCGTTTTAGCTCACAGGAGAGTGAGTGAAGCTAAAATCTTCAGTTAAGAACTGCAGAGTTCCTTGAGAACTAGTTCATTGAACTAAAAGAAAGAGCAGAGATTAGAAACATCAAAACAGAATTAAAAGTTCCCCTATTCTGTTAAGGCAAAGAGCTGTGGCAGGACAAAAATTACCCAGAACTCAGGTATCTTAAGAATCTGCTTTATTGCTTTACACCTAGTATATAGATGACTCCTACTCAAAATTTTGGTTGCCTATATTTGCATTAACATTAAGAAGTAAACAAAAATTCATAGTCCATATGGTGTACTTCTCAAAAGTAATTTTGACATATACTTGCTTTTTTTAAATTTAGGTATGTTCCAATTTCATTAAGTAGTAAGTTTTTAGGAGAGAAGAGTTGCATTTTTGTGATTCTTGGCTGATATTCCAGAGTGATGATCCAGAATGATTGAGAGAAAAATTTTTTTTTGTCCTTAAAACTCACTTTAGTAATCATTAGGATTTCTTCTGATCCTTTGTCTAGCACCTGGCTTAGCTCCCTCTCAAGTCAACGGGCCAGATTTACAGCCTTTTAGAGAACCTGAGGATAAAGAATGAAGGTTTCTAGTATTTCACTGGCCTAAAGTTTGTTGACGCAGCACTTAACTACTCCATGTCCCCATAACAAATTAATTTTTACAATGGTAAAAAAAATTCTGTAAAGACAGCAAGAAGATTAATTTCAAAAAACTGGAATCCCAAAGCACAACTTCTACACATCTAACTGTGTTCACCTCTCTCTGTCACAGTTTAATGTCAGCTTTCCCAACTAAGAAGGTTTTAGAGAACAGGTATTTTCATAGATTTGGTTGACTCTGGTATTGTCTATGGCCAGAGATAAAAAGAGAGGATTTTTCATTCTCAATTTCACATTAAAATCAGAAGAAAGTTTCTGAGCACTTACCACTGGAGTTTCAATTGGTACCGATGGCTGCACTTGAAGATTTACTGCAACAGTCTGTGGTGGTGGAAGAGTCTGAAACGGCAGCTGGACCAAAGCTTCTGCAGCAGGAAGTTCTTCCTCAGAAACCAGAGTGTTTTGAACCAAAACTTGGCCCTGGGATAGAATTTCAGGCTGCACTTGTAAGGACTGCACAGACTGCAATGGCAGCTGTTGAATCTGGGTTGAAGATGCTGACAGCTGAGGAGGAGCTGCAAGTGGGATAGGTGCAGACTGCAAGACTGAATGTGGCTGGTGTGGTGTGGAGGGCACTATCTGTTGGCCTGGGGAAACTAAGCTGGGCTGATCTACTGGTCCTATATGTACAGCTGGGGAAGATGAAAGTGGAAGATGCGATGGAAGATTGAGAGGCTGTGCAATTGGTCGAACTGGACTGCTAGTACTTTGCTGAGGAGCAGTCTGCTCTGGCTGAAGAGCCGTTGGCACAAGGGAGTTTGCCTGTGACTGAATAAGTGCTTGAGGATGAATAATTATTGTGGGTGACTGACTAGGGGAATGGGGAGGTGGAGGAGATACCACTACTGACTGCTGAGCTGACTGGGATGGAGTAGGAGATAGTGTTAGAGGCGGAGGATGGATGTGAATAGGTGAGCAATGCTGAGACTGGACACTGCTGGGAACTGGAGGAAGACCATGGCTTGTGAGGGGTAGACAGTGCTGTGATGGAGGGGGGTCCTGACCAGCAGAAGTCTGAAGTGAGATTGGCTGGACTTGCTGCTGTTGTTTCAATTTCAGCTGATGATGGGAAATCTTTGAAGGTGGAGAATGAAGCGGGATCTGCTGATGTTTTACTAAAGAATGAGGTTGAATTGGAGAATATGAAGCTGTGAGGGAAAAGAAAAACGAAACCGACAATTAGTATTTACTTAACTTCGGAAAATGCTAAAAATATTAAAAGAAAGAAGTTTTTATTTTGGTTAAATAAGCCAGACCAGAAAAAACTTTGTCAACCCTAGTGACATATGGGTAGAAATACCTTCTTTGACAGGATACAGTGCACAGAAACAATTTGTTAAGGAATATATCAATTTCCAAAGCAAACTGCACCAATGAATAAATAAACAAAACTACGCTTTTTACATATACATACTTTTTATATAGGTGTAAGTATAATTATCTACATCTATCTTGTTGGTGTTAGTTCTAAGATTACTGCTGATCGAGCCTTATCTTTTATTCAAGAATTCCACTCAACACTTGCTTTGAAACAGAGTGAGGTGGAAATAACTGCTAAGTTAAAATTTAGGCAATATGATTTTAAGAGACTCTAAAAAAAAAATTCCGTAACACTTCAGTATGAATCAAAACCTTACCAAGTGTTTACCTGCACTTGAACACAAACTGAAAGTTATGCGCCCAAAAACAGTGCAACTTCCAGAGATATCGCATCATCTCTGAGTGAACCACTGACTTGCAAGTAGTTCCTCGTGGAACTTGGGTGCATGGAAACACATGTGTATGAGCACACACACACATTTTCCTCCACATGCAAGCCTTTTCTTGCTTTGTCTTTTCCACTTGAGAAATAAGTCATTCATGTCTCTTTATTGATTCTGTTAGGAAAGATGGATCTTCTTTATAGAAGCAAGTTCTAACAACATTAGGGTTCAACAACTCAAGCATGTCTGCCTCTCAAGGCTGACAGCTTCTCAAAAAGCTGGCAATAAGCCAAGCTGGATCCTCTGAATTCTCAGATCAATTGTCGAGAAAACACTTACTCTTTGAATACAAGGAAGCTAAAATGTTACATAAATGTGTATGCAACTGCATGCTTATCTTGATTTACTTTCCACTTGTCAGACTCATTTGTTAAGATGCATCTTTAATTAAATTATAAAACATCAGATTCTGGGGCACAGTAACCTATGGATTTATAAGAGTATTTGGTGTGAAAGTTGTTCTGACAAGACAGAGCTCTTGAATGCTCATGCTGCAGCAATGAGTTAAAAAAAGGAATAATTATTCTAGAAAGTCAGGACATATCTCTTTTTCCAGTTCTACTCTGGCACCCTTTCATTCCGTACTTCTCCTGTTTCCTTCACCACTCGCCTCTACTCCAAAGTGGCATAAGTAGTTCAAGCGTATATTACTTATAGTACCACAAATATAGAAAATAATCCACTGATTATAGAAGACCCCCAAAGTCAGTTGACTTTGGAGGCATTCCATCACTGTGAACCATAAAAGACAAAACACTTTTAAAAAAAAAAAAAACACAACTTTTTTTATAGCTTCGTTTTCATCCTACCTGGTGTTATTAACTGATGTATACTTGGTGTCCGTGTGACTGGTGTGCTCCGACACTCTGGAGTTGGGCTCTCGCCTTTTCTATTGCTTTCTGAGGAATCTGGCTGGCTGCCCTTGGTACTGGTTACAGGTTTATTAGGGCACAGAGACAGTGACTGAGTTTGACTGCTGCTCTTTGGTGGGCCATTCTGTGAACCTGACAATACACCCAACTTCTGACTGCGCAAGGTCAAGTTCTGAACCTGGGAAACGAACCAAATGTAATACATATAGATGTCTAAGAAGCATCCAAGCTAAAACAGCAAATAATTAACATTATACAACACTTCTCATCCCATGTTATCAAAATAACTGAGAAGTTAAACAATTTGCTTATCATCAAGTTATCTTGTAAGTCACAAAATTTGGAGAAGAATAGTGATCTTAAATCACTTCAGTGATAAAGGAAATATAGTCTCTTCCTGAACTTTTTAAAAGAAAGAAATGGAAATTGTTCATTACACTAACACGAATTAAAATGTATCTTTTTTTCTTTTTTTACTATTACTGTGCCCTTACAGTGAACAACAAAGCATCTTGAGTAAATACAATTTTATATTTTATACAGATGCTGTAGGAGTGCAGTAGGCTGTAAGTATGTCTGCTGAGATTATTAACTTAAACCAGAGCCTTGGGTAGACACTGGGACCGGAATATGCTGTATGCTATCCACGTCTTACAGTCGAGAGTCCTTCATTTCCACAGCAATATTAATTTGCCTCTTCATTATGATACCTCCAATGTCACATAAAACAAAAAGTAGGCCTTCTGAAATGCAAATCAGTCAGTGATTATTTTTACTAATGCCCATTATACCATAGCCAGATTTTGTATAGCACAGCCCTAACTTTCCAATCCTACATGCTGAGCCAGAATGTCAATTCAAGGAAAAAGACTGCCTTTTTTGCACTAACTTACATCATCCTTTACATGAAAAAGAGGACTAATCATGACCACCATCCACTGTTTTCACTACATAATCCCTGTCTCATTCAGCAAACAGTTAGTACTCGTATAACGAACAGCTAGCTGACCTTTTATTTTTCATTGCTCCCTGTGTTACAGGACACATTCAAACCCTGTTCTGAAGACAATAGTATTTTTTTCCTTATTGGCTCGCATGCACCATTTATTGCAATCCTATGTTGGCGAACACATATCAGACTTCAGCACACCTTATCAGTTAAGGTAACCAATCCAAGATGTCCAGGACACACATAGGAGAAAGACACAAAAAGAAGAAATACATGGAAACAGAAGCGAAGAAGAAAAAGCAGAAGAAAAGTGTCAGTTTTGGACATGGTAGGTGTTCTCCTGAGATACTGCTAACCACTTATGAACTTGAGTTTCTTTGCGATGTTTCTCTACGGAAAAGATACTAGGAAATCACTATGCTTTTCCTTCACAAACATCCTAGCTAAATGTAATATATATAGATATAACAAATACACATTTTTTAAATAACCGGGATTGCCTATTTGCTCAGATTTGCTTACATGGTCAATAAAGACGTTTCTCTTTCTCCAAGCCCAGCCAATTGAAACCACAAGGACGTATTTAACATAGGATAAAAAAACATATAGCGGACCAATGTTAACACTTTCCCAGTGCATCACTGACTGGGTGAAACTGGATCTTTGCAGTGTCATTGCTGCTATAGAACCTGCTAGACAACGGAGGTTAACAGCATCTGGCAGTAGGGCTATACAGAACACAGAGAGGAAGCAACACCTTGAGTTTGGTGGGGCCACCACAGCAGTTCAACTCTCACAACAATGCTCTACAGTCTGGGGTAAGGTTCTACCATCCCTCTGCAAAAATGCCTCAGGAAGCTGATCGGTTGTAGAGTCAGGCAGACTTGTGCAAAGTGGACCTCTATACATCTTTAAGGTCTTCATATTGCCAAAAAGGAAGCAAAGACTCAGACCACATTTCCTAATACTAAAAATAACCGTTGTTCTTTGGTTGTTCAATTTGCACAGAGAGAGTTCTCAGAAAAGCTTGAAAGCGCCGTCAAACAAACACAGGCACCAAGCAAGTTAAAAAGCCGAAGCTCCTGTGGATCTGCCAACAAGACATCACAGATGACGAATGGCTACCCTGAAGCTATTACACAGGATTAACCATCTTTACAGAAGACTACTAGAAGAGAAGATGAACCAGCTTCCAAGAAAGCATCACTTTTCTCTGGTGAGATGGCAATCAAAACGCCTGCAGACTAAGAGAAAAGTCCAAACAAATGTTTGGGCAAATAAAACAACAGGGATGAGAACACCGGTGTTCCTGTAAGTAAGGGGCTAACTGCTTATGCTAATCAAGATGCTTCAAATTTAACACTGCCACTCCTGAAGATCACAAAAGTCCAAAAGAATCACCCTATTCCAATCTGCGTGTTTTTGAAGGCCGCACTCCAACACATCAAGGATATCATATCTGACCTGCCAGACCCAATCATGAAAAATCTGCATAGTGCCACAGGCATACTAACGAGAGACTCTAACTTTGTTTCAGCAGTTAAGAAGAGTCTATTCAACATGGGAAGCCCTAAGTTAACTGAAATTTTGGAAGCAACGGGACAAAGGCTTTACCACGCCCTTTTATCAGGATTCAGTGATTAAAAAAAAGTCCAGCTCTCACAATCTACCCTATACTACACTGAAAGCAGGACCCCTGTTAGACTCAAATTCTCACAGCATGCAGAAAAAACTGAATATTCAAGCAAAAGGGAAATAGAAGGAAAAGAAAATCCTATATGTGCTGAGAAAGTAAGTGAAAACATACAGGAGAAACTGTAAAGCCGTGTTTAAATCAAACTGAAAGCAAAGGTCCAGAAAAGGCAAAAAAAAAAAAGACTCAAACACCTTCCAGAAAGGTGCACTAATTCAACTCACTGGCAGAAGATCTCACTTTGACTGCATAAAGGTTGACACAAGAGGACTGGAAGGTGACTAGTTTGATGCCAATTTTCAAAAACGTTTCAGGGAGATCCATAGAACTACAAATGAGTAAATCTCATATCTCCAATAAGATCTAGTAGATCATTAGAACTATAATAAAGAACCAAGTTAGTAAGCACACAAAGACGCCATAACGGGAAATGGGCAATATGACTTTTGTAAAGGAAAGTCAGTGCCTCACAAATCTATTGGAATCCTCTGAAGAGATCAACAAACACAAGGACAGAGCTGATCCACTTGCTGTAGTCTGGATTTCCTAAAGATTTCCAAACAAGGTCCATCACCAAATGTTTTTAAAGAAACTGTTGTGAGACAGAAGGGAAGGTCTTGCCTAAGAAAATAACTTTGCCAGGAATAAACATTCATTTTCACAGTGGAAGACAGTCACTAATGGGTTCTCTAGTGATTAGCATTGCATCATACATTTTTCCAGATCACGTATGAATATGTTAACCAGTGAAGCGATGATACTAATTCTGCTGATAATGTGAAATTATTCAAACTAATATATATGAGGGCTAATTATGAAGAGCTGAAGTGATGTATCTGGGATCCCACATTTACATATAAAAATGATCACTTCTGAGCTGACTGGAATTATAATAAAGGTTAACCTTCTCATTTTTACTTAGTAGCTGCAGGGACATGGGTCTCAGTTAAAGACAGTGAATGCTGGCTTAGAAAACACAGATTCTGTGCCTACATCTGTCACAAAAAACACAGTGTGACAGCAGACAAGACATTTGAACTAAAGTTTTTCATGGGTGATCATTAATTGCCTGTTCCTCACTTTCTGAAGGTCTGACTTGAAACTCCAAGGACTGATATTCAGACGCGTGAGCAGTCCCAGCTGCAGCTGAAACAGTGACAGCTGTGCTTTCATCATACTGTCATCTGTTCATGTTACCTGAAAGTGGCATATGCGCAACGGCAATTTACTGCACGTAGTAAAATACAAACACTATTTTTCCAGCCATTTCATTCATTCCAGTGAACGTGGAATAGCATCTCCAGTAACATCTGAAATGAATCTGAAATTCAACCCATCTCATATGGTATTATAGCCAACCCTGACCCAGCATGGAAATCATGGGTTTCCATAAGCATCAAAATCCATTGTGCCTGAATCACTTAGACATGCAAAGACGGTGAAGTTAGATTTTGGTTTTATCAACACCCTGATACTACTGAAGACTTTGATACTTTTCAGTTCTCTATGTAGTCTCACCTACAGGACAAGCAACAGTGATGAACAGTAACAGAGAAATATGAATTACATATAGGATTAGTCTATGCTGTAAAGTTAAAACACAATGAACATAGTAAAATTATCTGAAGAAATTATCTGACGATTTCCAGACTGAAAATAATCTAATTACAAAAAATAAACTTGTGAGCTCTCCAGGAATGCATTCCTGCACAATAAATCAAGGCATATACAGGAGCACCTCGAACATAGCTATTTCTAGATGAGTTACGGAAAGCTCGCTCTTTTCTTGCAACAAAGTAATTACCATCGTAAAACACAAAACTTACCTCATTCTGATTTCACAGAAATCAATTATTTATCAACGCGTATTATTTGTGTGTCATGTGTAATTATATATCAATGTGTACAATGATGGTAAACAGAAGATTCTGAAGATGTAGAGAAACAGCACCCATTTCTTACTTTTATAAGCAGGTAAAACTTAAGCCCAACATTTCCTTACGTCTCAGTTTTGGCCCACCGTACTGGACACACATTTAACAAACTTTCACAAGCTCACCTGAGTAGCTGCAGACTGACAGGAAGATGAGGAAGATGATGAGACAACAGGAATATCAGATTGTACAGCAGCCACAGTGGTAGCAGGAGTGAAAATAAGCTGTTAAGAAAGAAAATAAAGTCAGATAACAGACTGAAACTTTGAAACATGTGAAAGAAATTAAACTACATGAATTGCATGCAGTGATATACAGCTTCTAATATTTACTTTTTTTGCTTTTAGATAAATTTATTCAAAAAGCAGTTTATTGCAGTAGCTTCGGTTAATAAATAACACAAGACAATAATTAAGATATTTGTTCGATGTTTTCAGAAAAATATCTTTCACATGCATCACCTGCCATACAAGTACTGTAAAAAAAAGGCTTTCACTCCCATACCAATGGGAGTGAAATGGGCGAAATAAAGGCAAAAGGCAAAAGATCAGTCCAATATCTACAATAATAAAGAAAGAAAATCTAGAAAATCTCTTCAATCTGTTAAAACGTTATTTAATAAGCAGAGTTGATATAACAACTTTCTTTTTCTGCTACGCTAATTAATTTTCATTCAAAGAACCTCCAATTAGTAATTTTAAAATATCAACATCCCAATTGTCATCAATTTCTTTACAGGCAATATAGCAAAGACAAGCTTTATGGAAAGTTTTGAAGAGAGACCCTCAATGAGTTTTCCGGATTTCTGAAGAGATCTCAACTGCAAGCAGCAGCTTGGGAGAAAGTATGAAGGTATTTATCTGAAGGGAGGTCAAGCTTGTGATGAAGGCTGGCGCTATGAGCTAACTGGAGATGAGAGTTGACCTTTCTACACAAAATGGAAGGCCTTGACAATGAATACAAATATGAGTTTTGATATGCTAGCTAGAAACAGTGGAAGATTGAAAGAGGTATGATACGCTCCATCACTGAGGCTAGCAAAATGATCTTGTAGTACTGTTCTAAATGGAAACGGGTAGAGCAAAGCTTCTCTCTCAAAGCTGGGGGCCAGGGGAAGACAGTTATTGACATAAGCAAGGAATTTGACATTGAGAGTCTGGAGGAAAATTTAGTGTAAATGAATAGGAAAACTGTATCAAAAAACCCCATGTCCTTGAGAAAAAGTGTTAGTAATAGAAAAGCAATCCCCCCTAGCAGTACTTCAGCTACTAAGGTGTTCATTCATACAAAAGGCAGTGCCATGGAATACATACATAACCTTCTGCTGTTAAATAATACTGGGTGTATTCAACACCTAGGTTTACTTGCAAACTGAAGACTCAAGAAAGCTTTTTCTCAGTAAATTAATAAACAGCTTTTCATAGTATAACATGCGATAATATGTGCCTTAAATCCTTATCTTGAAGTTATACTACTTTTTCAGTAAACGTGTAGGAAATCAAACAGACAAAGATGTTCAACAGAGCCCAATACCATTACTGCACAAGTCTATGCAAAAATCTCAGAGAGAGAATAAAGGATCACTTCTCCTAAACATACTTCATAAATGCCATTCCTGCAAGAACACATGCCTGCACCTAGGGTCTCTGACCTCTGACTCCAAATCTCAGTGTAGCGTAACAGTGATTTTTCCCGTGTTATATAATTGAGCGTGAAAATTTAGAAAGCCCTGGTCATAAACTCATGCAAGCAATAAAAAATATCTTTGGCTTTGACCACGTACTGATCACTACCTGGGCATTTATGTACAACCTCAGTAATTTCCATGAAATTCCACATGTTGTAAGAATCAACTGATACAAAGCTTACTGCAGAAAAGATCATCTATTTGAACCATGGAAAGTGTTAAAGTTAAAAAACAAACAAACAAACAAACACTAAACAGATTTTTCAGAACCAGCCCATTAGGAAAGAAACTCCTCTTCTAAAAATGGAAGTGCCACATTGACAGGAAATTGCAAGAATCTAATGACTTTCATATTACTCCAAAGAGAACGAAAGCTATAAATCCAACTCAAACTCTAGAGACGAGAATCCAACAAAGAACAATCTTAGTTAAGTATAAGAAAACGCTAATCAAAAGTCTGAACTCTGAATGTTAGCAGTGCATTAGGAAAATCTACCCAGAATATAGACAGACTCAAGCATGCCCTTTTTATAGCCAGGAAGAAAAGACAGATACTCTCTTCTTATATTTTTCCCATGCTTTATCAGTTTAATAATTGTAGTACGACCACGCCTTTAAAAACCAAAGACAACCAACCAGCCAACGAAAAAACACTCAAACTTCAGAGAACTAAGTTACGGCAGTCCTTTTGGTCCTTTGAGGTCCACACTGTTCCAAAACATATTTATTCACAAAACTAGAAACCAAATTGTCAATGCTACCTGGAACTAAAGAAAATAGATATGAATCATTCACAGAAACAAAATAAAAAATGACACAGTAAAGTTTTGGAAAACAAACGAGAAAAAGAGTCTAAAGATTTTAAGGCCAAAACTTACCATTTGAGCTCGGAGATACATTTGAGCCTGGCTTGCACTCAGGGTTGGAGAGGTGCTGCCCAGCAACATAGTCTGTTGGGTAATACTGCTGCTGGTGGTGTTGGAGGTCTGTGAACGGCTTATTATCTGTGCAGGTGTAGGAGAGGTGGAGAGGTTAATCTAAGGAAACAAAAATATTGCTTTTGTCATGGATATTCATTCACCCTAGGGTCTAAAGCCAGAAAGCCTTTGACAAAATCAGCAGGGGCAGATGAAGCCTCTGAACTGTAAAGATATCAAAAATATTTTGATCCAAACATCATAAAACCAGATTCTGGCAAGATTGTACACTCTCATTCTCAAACTGCAAGGAACATTTAGCAGTACATAATAAGTAGTTATGAGTATAAACAGTCATATTACGAAATCTGAAAAACATACTTCATATAAATACAGACTTACAGAATACGCAGCACAAACTTGTAATATTTGAAGAAAAAAGATTTGACTTTTAATACCGATGCTTCTTTAAACTTCTGTATTATCTGACTGGACTGGTAACATCTCCCAAGATGCTCATTATGCAACTTGCTTAATACTTGTCAAGATCAGGACATTTCATTTGTGCCTTCATATCTAAGTTTTGGTTACGCATTCTATGTATGCACATTTAAAAATTACTGAAGACTAAACTTTTCTACAGGTTCGCATTAAATGCTCCTCAACAATTTCTCTTTAGCATCTTCTCAAACAAAAGCTGGTTTTTTTTCTAAGAGGTCTAACAGAGTTAAGTGCCCAGCTCTTTTTCATCACTTTACTCAAAGATTTCCTTGGAAGCCCCAACCCAATTATGCTGATAGTTTAAGATCAAACCTCTTTAAAGACTTTCTCTCCTAAATTTAATGAATGAATGATTTTACTTCTAAGAACTGAAAGCCAAAGTAATGCTACGAAAGCTTAAAAAATACAAAGTTAAATTACTGAAGCTATGCACTGAAGTCATGAACAGCCTGAGGGCATGACTGATAAGCACGATGCCGGTAGGACAAACAAGGGCCTACTCGAGACAGCTGTGGAACTGCAAGTAGGAGATTGTGCAAATTACATGTATGAAGATGCCATTTAAAGAAATATTGCATGAGCTGAACACATGGAGCTGCTAATAAATGAAGCCTGAGTTCATTCTTTGAATATGAATAAAGTATGTGCAAGTGCATACAAGATGCATGATAAAAGATGATAATCAATAAAAGAATGAATACAAGATATATGAAATTAGTTAAGCGTGAGTGAGTGAGTGATGACTTGGATTCTTTAGATTTGGTGCTACTTAATCACCAGGACACAGCGTTATCATTTCTATCTACCACAGTGTGCTGATCAAAGAAACTAACGAGAAAAATCCAGTAAGAAATCATGCTAGAGATTAAAGGTTAGGGAGTGATTCCTGAAGTGGCCTGATAAAGTCACTGGTGCTCAGCGAGCGAGCACCAGAGCACCAACAGTGGGCTGGGACCAGGAAAGCCTTGAACACCAGCCAGCAACAATACTGGCTGGCAGCACAGATTGGGAGTGGCAGACACTGGAAGCGAAGCCAACACTTACTGTAGTGTCATTGTACTTCTATTTAATATTTCTGTAATAGGAATTTTAATCACACAAATTTAAATATTAAAATATTTTTTGTTTTTTCAAGTAAGTATACAATAACCAGCAGGGGTTGGGAACGGGTGCAGGGCTTTGTTCAGTTACGTACCGAGGTCTGCGACATGCTTGACTGCTGAGTGACACTCCCAGTGGGGGAAGTACATTGCCTCCCACCTGACAGGCTTGCCTAAATAGCAAGAATACGTGTCAAACACTGAAATCAAAAAGTATTTAAGTGATGTTCATATTATTGCATAAACCATCAGAAACCCCTCTCTACTGTTGCCCTTTCTCTGAGTTAATTTTATTTAGCCGAATTAGTTTTCAACAAAGTGCGCTCCACCCTATCGACTGCAGGCCGCTAAATGCCTTCAATTCCTACCAACTCGCAGGCATTCAGACACTTGCAGGTTAAGACCTGAACAAAAACTACCAGAAGGGATATCTACCAAACTGTTAATGATGCAGCTAACTGATCAGCTCACCACCTATGGCGCTGAGGACTTATAATGGGACATCATTAAAAACTGTCATCATTCAAATTCACATCATTTTTATTGTGACTATAATCTTCTAAAAATAAAGCAATCTTTACAAATGCTGCAAGGAACACCTTCATGCTTTCTAGAGTAATTTATGTATGCATATCTGGTATCTGATATAAGCCAGCATCTTACTCCAGCAATTCAGATTAATAGAGTGACACTGATTTAGATTTATCTATTAACAGAGTGCATATCAAACTCTTCTCCCAACCTGATTTTCTTTGCTCCATCTCAGTGACTGCATAGATATGCACACACAAACGCTTCATTAAAAATATGATAAATCAATATATCACCATGATCTAATAGAAAGTGTACAGAAGTAGAAGCCAGGAGCGTACAAGAATCAGTCCTAGTTCTGACAACAAAGAGATATATCCCTGAAGTTTTTAAACTCTGTTTTAGCATCTCTGCTTGTAAAATTCTAACACCCAACTATCTCTGCAGGACCATATTCGCAATACAAGGTCAACTGAGGTCAAGGGAAATCTTTTCCACTGATTGAGTTTTCACAACGGGTCTACTCCAGCGCTCATTAATGTTAAAAGCTTTACTTCAGAAATAAAGCACAGCACTGTCATTTACTTCCTACATTTCCATATTCAGAGTTTAAACTGAAGTTTGCCATTACTTAAAATGCAGCCAGTTGTGTGGCAAGACACACTGAAAATAATGACCATCTGGTATCGTACTTGATTTCACTGAGGTACATTTCTATTTATTGCTTTCTTATCAACTTTTTGTAAAAATTATGGGATGAAGATTGAAGTAGTCTATTTTTAGCATTATTTATTATATCGCTTGATGATTTATATGATGCATTATAATGTATGCAATAAAGCATGGAATGGACGCCTGCCGGAACATCCGTTACACTGGACAAAATCCTCCAAGTAGTTTGGTACTGTTACAGTTTAAAAGAATAAAGTCATTAAAATACAACAGTGAATTATTGTGAGGTATTACGCTCGGGCACTTAAGCCGTTATTACGTTTGGTAATGCTCTAGAATGAAGTAGCAAACCATTATTTTTCAGCAATCTTCACTCTCACCTGTGGTACAGTTGCCAGACTCTGAAATTGGGTACTGCTTAAGTGCTGCTGCTGCAAAGCAGCAGTCTGCAGCATTAGATGCTGCTGTTGGGCTGCATACATCTGCTGAAGGTACTGAGCAGCTGAGCTAGGAGGACGATGCAAGGCCTGCTGAATAACCTGTGATGAATCAGTAGGTAATTACAATTACAAAGTACACACCTTGCTGATATGACACTGAAGTTTACCTTTACAAGGAAATAAAACTAAACAAATCCTTTGCACACCAATTACATAATACTGAACTTCCTCCATCGCCACTGTTCTCAACGAAGTTACAGAATATATTCCACATAAATAATATATTCAGGTTTACAAGGAAAGCCCGGCAGTCCATTATACAGCATCATTCATAACACTACATCCAAGACTCTTAGGTTCTTGTCAACAAGTCCTAGAAGATGGCCTGCTTTTTCAAAGATCAGGATAGCATGTGTGAGAATCAGTTATCAAACCTAGGAGAGCGGACCGTACAAAACCCCAACAGAACTAATTTAAAGAACAGCAAAGGGGAATGGATCCAATGAAGCAAAGAGTTACACAGAGGAAAATACCTCCGGATCCCTGTAGCCTATCTTTGTCAAGGGAATGGCTGTATCATATGTTACTCTGTAAAGTTTTATTAACAGCGCTATTCTTAAATGCTCTAATATCTTTGGGTAAACAATATTTTCTGAGAACTAGTAAGTCAGACATTGAGAAACAGGACAGCATTTAAGAACGGAACGGTAATCTTGAGTATTGTGCAGTGCCTGTGTTTGAACGCATTGTACAGAAGGATAGGAAGGAACATCTCATAGCCCAGTACCTGAACAGCATGCCGATCAGAGCCACTGTAGACAGATATCTGTGGTAGCTGTGTCCGAGAAGTGGAGGTGGTGGTGATAGTAGTTGTAGATGCAGAACATGTTGTTGTGTGCGGTTCATTCTCCATAGCGGTGCGGTGTTCGTCCAGCCTGGCAGAATTGAAATACAAATATTTCACAAACAGAAGAACGGTACCTACTGACTCTAAAGAAAAACAATCTAAGCTTTGCTGAGATAGAATCATGGATAACGTGTCCAAATTCATAATATTTTGCTATTACCAGAAGGAACGTGTGGGCAGATGCAGTTTTAAACTTGTTATGATCTTAAGATACATCAAAAGTAGCAGTAGGTGACCAGTTTAGGACTACGTGCAAGACTTCAACACCCCTGAGCTACCCAGGAGTAATGCCACATTCCCCTTCCCCACAGCATAGCACAGATGCCACCGGCTGGCTGCCCATTCCATATTTTCAGCAAAATATTTTCTTGGAAGAAACAACTGGTGGCCTCCTTTATTCAGAAAGGGATAAAAAGGCTGTAGGGAAGGAAGAAACTATCTGTTTAAGCATCTCTGACGATTCTTCCCCAACCTAACCATTTCTACTGCAGAATACAAACTCTCTCCCTAGACGCCTTCTTTAAAACTGAAATGAGTCCAATATATAGATTTATGAGGGGTGACTAGTTTCTTTTTCACTTTTGGTTTTATGACTAACAGTAAAGGGCATAGTTGCTGTTTACTGCTTTTTAAAAGAGATAAAAGGGGGGAGGAGGAAGACGCATTTCCTTCCTACAAAGGAGGACTCAGAAAATAATCGTTTAGAGAGCTGCCATGTACTGAGGGAAAAAAACAGCGTTGCCAAGTTCTTAACAAGCGCCCATTGGATTCTGCAACAAACAGGAACATAATTAGGAATTTCAGCTCACACAGCTGAAGGCAGAATACAACACTGTCAGATGGCTACCTCCACCTCTCAAAATGTGACTACTACACAAGTAGGGAACTTATAAAATAATACCCACTCCCTAGTAAAATTGTCCATACTCACATGGCACAACAGCTCCTGGTGACTTGGGATAGCTAAACCTTAATAGATACTTGGTCACCTAGGACCTCATGCCTATCGCTATACTGTATAACACGTATCTGTATCACGTGCACTGCTGCACATCCCTTGCCATGAAAAACGTCATGGCAATAAAATAAAAAAAATAAAAAGCACAAATCCTTACTATTTGAACTGAAGAAAAATATGGCTTTGTTGCTAAAAAGCCAGATCCATTGTGTGTTATAGATGCCATCTATCTACAGCAAAGCACAAGTGAACATATAAGGACTAAGCACTTTACTTCAATAGCAATAAAAACAGCACCACTTCAGAAAGCACTTTACATTAATTTCACATAATACTAACGAAACATATCCTGAAAAAAAGTCTCCTTTAGAGGCCATTAAGCATACATCAAAATATTTACACCTAAAACTTGTCTAGCTAGTTTTAGCAATGTTATGCAACCAACTCAATTACTCTAAAAAAAACAACACTAAGTGTTTTATTTCCATAGCTCTTACATACATATTTAAGATCTACTATCAGCAAGGTGTGCAATGCATTCCACTCTACCAGCTATTCCAAAGTTCACTACTACCCCATGCTCGCAGTCAATCCTATAGCTTAAGGTGTCTCATCATATTTTCAAAAATAATTTTATTATTGTCCAAGTTATTCATGCAATGGCTATATGAAGAAAATCAAACAGGAGCGAGCCCCTGAACTCTCGTTCAGCACAGCCTGGCACTGAGCTGCAGCTCCAGTCCTCCTCTATTAGCACGTTTGACCCAGTATCAGTTAGAGGTGATACTTGATCCTTGCTTGGCCACCCTGAGGTCCAGCTGCAGTGTTCAGCACCAACGTGCATAAACACCAGGCCCTCTGTAGGCTGAAGTGACACTTGTTTGAAACCTCTCTTCACTGTAAGTGAGCAGGGATTGGTTTAAGGATAATGGGAAATAAATAAAACGTGCCTTTTTTAGCAAGAAAACCAAGAATCCATTAATAACTTGGCAGATAAATCTCTGTCGAAAGTGTTAAAAAAATACAGAGTTAAAGTCAGACTGCTTTTATAGCATTACTTTCATCTGCCTTACAGCCCTGTATATGCAGAGACCACTTCTAAATATAAAGAAATCATGCCTAGCTCTTGCTGAGACATAAGCAAGATTCTGAAATTGTGCAAGGACACTACAAAATTAAAGAGCCAAAGCGCCTAACCCGTAGCAAAATTAAATTTGAAAAATGCATGAGTAGGCTTGTGTGATGACACCGCCTGTGAGCGGCTCACTTTAACTCAAAAGGTCCCCTCCAACGCTCGAGTAACTTTTAGAAAATGCAGCAACTAACTCTAACTTTAAACGACCACTACGCTTTCAAAAGTGACATTGAAAAACAAAACAGAACAAAAAAACTACTCTGAAAAGAAGTATTTATTTAAAAGAGTGACAGTATGGGACACTGCATAGTTTACAGCACGCGTAACACAAACAGTGAGAAGTTTTGTTTTGTTTATATATCGAGACGTAAATAATAGTTCTGGGTCGAAGCACATATCCAGAGAAAGGTCAAAAAATTATCCCACACCAATAGCCTTAAGCTGCAATGACAGCATATACTCATGCCACTAGCCATTTTTGTATTTTGGAAAGCTTGATTTTTAGTAAGTGAGGTAGCAAAGAGGAACACTGTTGCTCTTCAGCAACCAAGACACGCGAAAACAGAGTCCTTCATTTTTCACGTACATATCCACTCAACTCATCGCCGCTCCTTACAATTGCAAGAGAAGATGATTTAAAAAAAAAAAAAAAAAGACTTTTTTCTCCCAAACTAAATCCCAGGTGGGTTTTTCGTGCACGAGGAAGACAGAGCACCA